TTTAGAGGATAGCTCCATTGACAACAACTAGAGAAAAACCTCAAAAGTTTGGAGCCGGCTGTAATTTTTAGGGAGCATTGGCGACCTGGCTCGTGAGATTTGTCAGGCCTTTCATTTTTTCATTAGGGGATAGAATGCAGACATAGGACATGCTGGGTTGTCAACTTTATTCCTCCTGTAGTGTAGACACATTACTAAGCAACACCAATGGCCATGGTACATCCCAATTGCATCACCAGGGATGGTCTGAAGGTACCTAAAGATATCCTGAAACTATCAGTAGAAGGAATATATATATATATATAAAACAATGTCCGGGACCTCATTAGAAGTATTTTCCCTTACTCACCAACCAGGGAAAAAACTATTTCTCACACAAGAAGAGCATTATTATTATTAATATTAATATACAGGGTTTATATAGCGCCAACAGTTTGCGCAGCGCTTTACAATATAAGGAAGACATTACAATCACAATACAATTCAAGATAAGATGGTAAGGAGGGCCCTGCCCCTGAGGGCTTACAAGAAACACCCCCGACCATGGGACAACACTTGACATGCCCACTTTTTGGGCAGAAACACACAAACCACACTTACTTTATGGTGTGGTCCCACCCCTAAATATGCTGGAACAGCCCACTGTTGGCCACAGTGGCCTTCTTTGGGTTATTACCTCTGCTCAGTCATTTAAAAAACGTGATGCTAGGATCCTGAGACATAACATCATCGGGACAGGGGTCCAGAGATGCAGGACTGTCCCGGCAATTCTAGAACAGAACAGAAAAATGCTTTCTTTAAGTTAAGTAAGGTCATGCTAGAACCCGTCAGTTTTTTTTATATTATCCGTTTCCCTGTTGCAGATTTTCCTCCACTTCCTGTCTATTTAAAAGGTTGTCCCCAGCACAGGAAGTGAGGAAAAATCTCTCTGAGGCTCCTTTCACACATGGGCGGTTCTCTGCACGTATTCGCACATACGAATAAGCACGGAAACACGCTAAACATAAAAACCAATGCATTGCGATGTGCATTGTTCAGACCGTTGCAGCGGCCGCTCTGTACAAAACCGAGCGTCCCACAAAATAGTCCAAGAGCGACTTTATGGGTGGATTCCGCGCGTTCCAGCTATAGTACTGAAACTATACAACATTTTGGGCTCTAGTTACATTGTATTTCTCTGACATGGATGCTAAATCACAGTCTTCAATATTCAAGTAGAGAGGCATCCAGCAAATCTGTACAAACTTGCAACAATCTAAATAGGGAACAGCAACTACTTATACGTGACACTCGCATTACAAAATGGGAGCTATTATTGGGAGATGCAGACACACCTTTGTTATGATATACAGTGATGCCAGCACGCCTTACACAAACACGCCAACTGCTAACAACTGACCGCTACAGATCTAGTACATTCACCAAGAAGAACATATCATTATACACCCAGTTGTTGGATGGCAGCAACAATTAACAATGGGATGTTTAATTATAGGACTGCCAGGCCTGAGATAACTTCACCACTTCATTAAGCACCCTCGAAGACCCCATGAAGACTTGACAACTGTAACATTTTGGATGTCCCATCAGACCATATCTGGGTGACAGTGGTCACCAGCCCAAAAGAGAGAGTAAAAAATCATTGCAGTAGTTCTAACCCTTCCCTACTATTTGCAAAAATAGTTCCCTATTGATGGGGCACTATTCCTCCCACTGACACCAATGATGGGGCACTATTCCTCCCACTGACACCAATGATGGGGCACTATTCCTCCCACTGACACCAATGATGGGGCACTATTCCTCCCACTATACTATTCCCCCCACTGACACCAATGATGGGGCACTATTCCTCCCACTGACACCAATGATGGGACACTATTCCTCCCACTGACACCAATGATGGGGCACTATTCCTCCCACTATAAAGTCCATATACCCATTGCACTCAGAACCACTGTTGCATTAGTGAAGAAATGGGTGCAGCGGATGTCAGCGGATGGCTACTACCAAAATATACAGATAAAAGAGATGGACACAGGCACTCCAAGCCAAATCAAGTACGTCTATTTATTCACATACATGTTGCATAGCAAAAAAGACACTCAGTGCAACGTTTCTGGCTCTCACAGGATCCCCTTCATCAGGCAAAGAACTTGACACCACTGACACGGCACTATTCCTCCCATTGACACCAACGATAGACCACTATTTCTCCCAATGACACCAGTGATGGGGCACTGTTCCATAGAAATGTAAAAACAAAAACAATCAAATACATTTCAGTGTGCACAATACTACCCCTGACAACTGCTTTAACCTCCTCTTCTCTCCCGAAGGAAGGCACCATCTTTGTTCAGGCATTGTACAAGGTCGCCAGTTACTCCCTGAACTGAGATGCCGGCTCAGAGAAGACACAATCATGTAAAACCTGGCATCCGTGCACTTATTGGCTGCGTTTACAAATGTGTAACTCAGATCAGCCCCTGCTGCAGCTTCTCATTTTGTGATTTGCTACAAAGTTGCAATGGTGAAGTCTGATCACTGGGGGAGCGATCACTAGCTCTGACTTTCATTGGCCTCTTGCTTGTTCCTGCTCTGTGTCTCAAGTACTAAAGCCAAACACAGCCAGGCCATTAGCATTTTCAGAAAGCATTGGTATTTCTCTCATGACAGGCACACTTTAACCCAGTCCAGGCAGTGAACACTGACACACGCTGAAGGGGCGAGTCCCTGTATTGTGGGGGAAAGAGAATGATTATCTTACAAGGACAGATATAACTGTATAGAACTCCCTCTCGCGTGGGTTACAACGGAGCTTCCCTTAAAGCAGAACTGTCGCACTGCAAGGGATGAGTGCTCGCTTTTACCTAGGGTTAAAACAAAACAAAAAAGTTATACTCGATCCTCCAAGCTGACTTGCTCTTAGATGGGTCCCTGGAGCCTCTCGCTGCAGCAGCCTAAGGTCCAGCGAGTCATCACGTTCTATACATTGCAGTGGCGGAACAATCTCCATAGCGACCCAGGCCCCCGCTATGGGGCACAGGAGGGCCCTGCCCGGACATACCCCTGATGCCGTGCGGGCCGCCTGGGCCGCTATGGCATCTCAGGCTGCTGGCTATCACTGGCAGCTGTGAGGAGGAACGCTCCGCTATTCACATCACTGACAACTAACGTTCCTCCTCACAGCCGCTGCTGAGTCGGTGACAACTAGCAGCTTCGGAGGAGGTGGCTTGGCCTGTCATCGGCAGCGATGGAGGAGGCAGGAGGTGGGGCCTGGTGACGGAGGAGGTGTGGCCTGGCGACAGAGGAGGAGACAGCACCCGTGGAGGAGAAGGAGGCGGACAGCGGATCGGGGCTGACAGGTAAGAGGGCTTGACCACCCACCTGAGACCCTGCAGAGATCACCATAGAGAGTCTATGGTGGGCTCTGCAGGGTCACAGTCAGGTGGGCTGTTTGGGTTATCAGGTGGGCGTAACTAGAAATCACAGGGCCCCATACAAAACTTTACTATGGGGCCCTGTGATTTCTAGCTATGCCCCTGATACACTGTGTATAGGATGTGAGGACGCCGAGGGGCATAAGCCAGCTTGGAGCATCAGGCGAGTCTAACTTATGACCCTAGGAAAAAATTAGCACTTAACCCTTTCAGTGCAGGGGTAGCCACACGGCAAGGGTTCATAACCTTTCTACCCAGAGTTCTTCTTTAAACCATTTCCTCACCCAAAATTGTCATGGCAAATGCCACCATGACAGGGACACCCACCAGCTTCATGGCTAGCAAGGTTTCTATAGACCTATGTTGGTGGCACCGTGGCTAGCACTTATACTGTACCTTGTAACCCACCCACCCACTAGCACAGGTCCGATCCTGGCTTCCCCCACCTGCTAGGATAGGTCCGATCCTGGCTTCCCCCACCTGCTAGCACAGGTCCGATCCTGGCTTCCCCCACCCGCTAGCACAGGTCCGTTCCTGGCTTCCCCCACCTGCTAGTATAGGTCCGATCCTGGCTTCCCCACCTGCTAGCACAGGTCCGTTCCTGGCTTCCCCACCTGCTAGTATAGGTCCGATCCTGGCTTCCCCAGCTGCTAGCACAGGTCCGTTCCTGGCTTCCCCCACCTGCTAGTATAGGTCCGATCCTGGCTTCCCCACCTGCTAGCACAGGTCCGTTCCTGGCTTCCCCACCTGCTAGTATAGGTCCGATCCTGGCTTCCCCCAACTGCTAGTATAGGTCCGATCCTGGCTTCCCCAGCTGCTAGCACAGGTCCATTCCTGGCTTCCCCCAACTGCTAGTATAGGTCCGATCCTGGCTTCCCCACCTGCTAGCACAGGTCCGTTCCTGGCTTCCCCACCTGCTAGTACAGGTCTGTCCTTTATTTATTACATAGTACAGAGAATGTCGCAGGAGAAGTGAGACTCTACAATAAAAAGAAACCTACAGAAGGGAGATCGTGACTTCCTATGAGATATAAAAATCTAGTGCAGGGGCGGGCAACTCCAGCCCTCGATTTGTGCTTTAACTACAAATCCCAACATGCCTGTAACTGTCAGTCTTGCAATGCCTCATGGGACTTGTAGTTCCACAACACCTGGAGGGGCCGCAGTTGCCCACCCCTGATCTAGTGAGTGTCTCAGTCTCCGCTGATATTGAGCAGACGGACACTTCTATGACACATACATACTTGTAAATACTGAGCTGGTTACATTGTAGACATTACAGATGAGTCCATAGCAGGCCTCACAGCGGAGAAGGAAAATTGTATACAAACAGGACGTAGAGAAGATACATTATAAGGTGTTTGCTGGGGGAAGGGCTGACACCTCAGTGCTGGAACCAGTGTTGTGCCAGTCCACCCAGCCTGTATTGTGTCCCCGCTGCCCAGCACCACACCTGCAGTGCTGAGCCCACTTCCCTGGCTGCTGGGCAGGGGGGAGAGACAGTGTGTCTATAGCAGACCTGGCTTCCCCACCTCCCCTCGGCTCCACAGGCCTGCTTACCCTCTCTTGTGTTTGCCGTCCATTCTCTTCTTCTGCCTGACAGGTTGCAGAGGGATATTATCCGTCATCTTGGCTGCTGGAAGGCTGTGGGTGTTGCTTGGAATGGAGAGGAAGGTGGGGGCCTGCGTGCTGTCCTGGGGCTTCCTGCTCTCTTCTATTCTTCCAGCCTGACAAGTAGCAGGGGCTGGACTGCTGGGGGAGCGGGCCTGCCCTGTCTCCTTCATTCACAGACAATACAGCAGCTGCACCTTCCCTGGCTCCTCCCCTGACCTGCTCAGGCTGCAAATGCTCCAAGAGAACCTGTCACCCCCTGAGAATTACAGTAAAAATGCATTGCACCTCATGTGCACCGCTGTTAAAGAGCAACCTAAACTGGTCGATGGCAAATGAGCGATTTCCGTATCAATCGACTTGTTGCGCAAGGATACTCCCCTCGTTGTCGATTGATCGTCACTAGCAATTGATCCATATTTCATTTCTTTGGCCATGTATTCGGCACCTACTACGGTATATTGTTCAGTTTTAAACGTGTGATTTCCTCCATTCAATTATCAGATAATTCTGATGCTTCCCTCTGTGTCAATCGATGATCAATATCAATAAAAAAAAATCAGTCTAGGTGATTTCCTCATCATTGAATTTTCAGGCAACGCAACACACGCAATCTTATCAATCATAAAATCATTCTAGACACTCGTTCGCGGAATTGATCAGTGCTTATGATCATTTCTGTCTCTAGCCTTTCAGTGGGGAAGGGGGGGTGTTACTGGTGGTGCACGCATTCAGTGGGGAAGGGGGGGTGTTGCTGGTGGTGCACGCATTTAGTGGGGAAGGGGGGTGTTGCTGATGGTGCACGCATTTAGTGGGGAAGGTGGGTAGAGGAGACAGCGCTGCCAGAAAGGAGAGTGATGCCACCCTATGCAGGCTCGACATCTTTCCACCCAGTTCTTTGCAACCTGGGACACTCTGGCCGGCATCCCTCCCAGCTCCTGGCAACCAGTTATGTCACTGGTTGCCAGGAGCTGGGTGGGATGCCGGCCAGAGTGTCCCAGGTTGCTAAGAGCCGGTCTGGGAGATGTGTATATTTCTTACCCCAGCTCTTAGAAACCTGGGATGCTCTGACCTGGACAGCAGGCACACTGCAAAACATTGTGCAGCAGAGCGCCCATGCCACCCTGTCTGCCTGCTGCTCCCCCATGACCCAAATATATGCCGCCTGAGGCAACAGCCTCAAGCTGCCTTATTAAAGGTATGGCACGGCATACAATCAATAAGAAATGATCAATACATTTCCAGACCGGCCGATCGACATCTCTCAGGGGTGCAAACGATCAGTTCCATTTTTGTTATAGGTTGGGTACTTTACTTGCTTGTCTTGCATGCGATTCCATCTGACTGGCTGCAGGGATCGGTCAATCGAATGATAATATGGATGCGAGTGTGGCCATCACTGGTCACGGACGTCGGAGCGTGACTGGACAAGCAGGGGGGGGGGGGCTTCAGAGCGTTGGAGGATGTCTTTTCGGTCCAGCTACAGGTATAAATATAAAAGATCAAAAGGATAAAAAAGGAGGAGCATTAAAATAAAATACTTCTATAAATGAATAATGTAAACCGTCGTTATCCCAAAGATCTGTCAGCGATGAGATTTGTCAGGTCGACCTACGACTATCTCCAGTTGTTGGCCCGGTCAGAATCATCATGTGTGCGGTTCGCCCCTTTCCTTCCTCTTTCGGGTGAAGAAGGAAGAGTCGGGTCACACAAAGATCATTCTTCAGATTTCTGGAAGCAAGAATAAATACTGGCCACAGTAGGACCGTAGGACGTGCTCGACGCGGCGCCTAGGGCAGCCCAACGCGGCCCAATCCTCACCCGTTTGAAATTGCACACGGCTTCTTGTTTTGCTTTTACTTTGAATTTAGGGCCCATTCACACGTATGCATTGTGATAACATGTAGCAACATGTCGCAGGGGTATATGTGTGTATAGAGCTGAGATGCCAACCAGAATGAATGAGCCCCTTCCTCGTCAAAGCACATAGACAGTACAGCAAAGTGGACCTGCGCCATAGAGCACACCCCCAATGCACAGATGTGAGCCATGTATGCATTGCGGTGTACTGCATTATACAAAAGGTCCAGGTGCATTAATGGAAGGCATCATATAAATGGGCCCTTGGGCCTGATACTCCGTTAAAGGAGAACTATAAGATGAGTGATTTCCACTCACCTCATAGTTCTAGCCGACCTGTGACAATGAGACTGTCACAGGTCGGCTCAGTAGATCAGGAGGTGAGCGAACACATACCAGGTTCGCTCACCTCTC